ATTTCTTTCGGTCCCTTTTAAATGGAGTAACACTATGGAAGTTAGTAAATAACATCATTACCGTTTCACTTAACCAGTATGCTATGATTTCCCATTTCTGCAACAAAATACAGGTAGGGGTGACCCTGTCCCCAGGCAGGTACCACAGACCCTCGTGTACAGCGTCATTAACCACACACACCAGTCTCCCACAGCCTCAACTATCAACTAAGATGCTTATCATTTATATCACAGTGGCAGTCTTTCTAAATCTTAGGTTGTAACATTTAAACAGAAAGGTTCAACCCACGTTTTAATCCTCTCTTAACCCCCTGCCCATAGACAGGCTTGTATAAGCGTACACCTACGGAGAAGTTTTTCAAGTATAAAATGACATTTTAGACATTAAACCGCAGAACTTCCAACAAAGAGGCAATTTCCTGCCTAAACTGCACCTTTATCAAGCACATTGGGTAAATCCCCTCCTGTTACAAGTAAGGTCTCATGCTTTAATCCGCAGATAGCGTTTCTGTTAAGCACAAATGGCAATGCTGTACAAGAACTAGAAACAGTCATGGTACAGAGTTTGACGTCCAAAGACAAAACTCTCAAAATGCTTCTTTCACTGCAGCTGTCTGTAAAAGACATCACAATCCAGAGAAACAAATGTTTGTGGATTTGGCTGTTAAAAGATTTCACAATCAAATTCGTGTTTTAAAGATAAACCCAGAGCAGAATGTAAAAAGAATGTGTTCGTTTGGTTTTGATTATTTTTTTTTTTAAATTTACAGACTACAGGTGAGTTAAGGTCAAGAAAATGAGGAATTCCTTAGCTTTACCATAATGAAAGCAAACAGAAACACTTTCTTACTGCCCATTTAAAGAAAAATAAACTGATACTGCTCTTCATATACCCTGGAAAAACATCACTAATCCTAGCATGAAGTAAAAATTGTAATGGCTTTGGTAGTAATTCTCTGTGCTTCTGCTATCTTCATTCAAACTGCTTTCATATCAGCATATTAATGCAAGTTTTTTAAAAGCACTACAATCACTCCAGAGCAATCCCTGTGCAATTTCAGAATTTGTGTTTCCTACAAAATTGCTGGAATGCAGCATTAGCTGACATCTTGCTTCCTGTTCCTTTGGATGAATATTTTCATACTAAAAAGCTGTGCCAATCTTCCAACTTACTCCACAAGGATACAATAGCCATAGTTGCATTGACAAATATAGTGATAGCACAGATGAAAGTTCTAAATTAGGAATGTGTTGAGATTTGCACTTAAAGGCACAGCTAAAATCCTTCTGTTTCACACTTTGATGATTATGCTTACATTTATTATACAAACTTGATATAGTGATTCTTCAAAAGACATAACAGTTTTGCGTATTTCTGTAACTGCACAGATTATATTTAAAATATTTTTGTTTTTCCCCATATTTCTTTATATTCACAATGAAAAACTGACAATGACATGAAAATTGAAAGATCTGCAGAAACACTGAACCACTGAGGACATCTTAGGTACACATATGCCTACTTCATCCTCTGGTTTAGGAACACCTGGACTGAATTAATTTCAATTTAGGAATTAAAAACAAAAAAAGAGCAAAAGCTTGTACAAACTGAAGAGCGTACAAGGAATCAATGTTTCAATGCACCGTATATGTGTGTACGCGTTAGATAATTAGATGTCCCATTTATTTTATTGCCAAGAGCAATTTTTGCTTTCCATTAACTATTTATGCCATTTTCCCACAGAACATCTGATCAATTACTATCAGCAGGGAGCCTGACGACCTGAGAAAAGAAAGCACCATCCTGTTTTAATCTGCCTCGAGGGAGGTAACAGTTACTACCTCTGCAATAGTGCAAGGCTACTTCCAAAAAACCTCACAATATAAAAGCTTTCCTATGTCAACAGTAGGTAGCACTTAAGAGCATTACTTGCTTTTATGGCCTCCCGACATCTTTGGCCTCCATTGCTACATTTAACATTTATACCTGCACCTAAAGCATTTACACCATGAACGAAATATAAAACTATTTCTATGAAAACAGTATGCTGCATACAACTTCAGAAAGATTTAAAGGTTATGCATCAGTCCTTCATGGCACTGCAAAATGTAAATGCCTCAAGTGAGTGCCAGCGTATGCCACTCAACAGCTGTCAGAATTGGCAATAAATCTTAGTTAGAGCTGGTAAACATGTATTTCATGAAATGAGTACTCCCCAAGCTTTATACACACTGTTCCCACAGAGGTCAGTGGGGCACCACACTGAGCTCAACCGGATGATCTCATTTCTAACAGGGACTTACAGCCAATTCACTCCAGCCACAAAAAAAACACTGGTTTGGTGACTGTTTCCAACAAACTATTTAAAAATCAGGCACACTAGGAATTTTATCCTGGTATGCTAATAAGATCACATGCTTACTGCACAGCTGAATTTCTAAGTTTAAGACCTCGAGAGGAAAAAAAAAAAAGTATAAGGAGCTAGGAAAGAATATTTAGGAAAATGGTTTGAAATTACGAAAAAGAACCAGAAATATAGGTAGTGTCAAACTAATGCAAAATAAAGACCAGTTTTGTTATATTTACATGTTCTTGGGTTTAGATCAATGACTTAAAAGTTACAAGTGTATTTACTATACAATGCCTTATAAAAATCTATTTTTATATTATCAAGCAAGAAGTCTACAAATAGTCAATTATGTATTTCTGAATGTTTCTTCTGGCAAATAGCTTTTGTTTCTGCAGCAACATGTTTTGTAATTCATGTTGCTCTTTAAGTCCAATACCAAGCTTTTAAAATGTGTTTCTTCTTTTTTTTTAATTGGTAGGCATAACACCACTTGCATACTTCAAAGTGCTGGTGTAAAATCCCCAGATGATTGCAGAAAAAAAATGTTGTAAGAATCATTAATCAATAGCAGAAACTCACTAGGATCCTTGCCACATCCTAGTTTGGACAAGTGCTTGATTGTTTGTGTGTTAAATAATTTCTCTCTAACTTCATAATTAAGTCATATCAGGTTATCTTACTGTGGTCTTTGCAGAACTGGAGAAGTATACAGTTGCTAATATTTCTGTAGTTAGCAACAAGAATAAAACCGAGTGATATGCTTTGTGGTTTATATTGATGGGAGGGGATAGATCAGTTTCATACCTATTTCACTGTACTCTAGACACAAGAAATCTTTTGTCTTATATCACTCAAAATGGCTTAACACTTGGTTTCTGGAGAAACTGGCTGCTTATAAAAGCTGACTGACAACTGCTTATAATAATTTTTTTCTCAGAAGACTCAGTCAGCTGCTTGTTTGAGTTAAGAACATGTGATACTACTTCCTATTTTATATCCAAATCCAGCAGCTGGTACCTCATGACTCACAAGCATGCCAATTAATTCTTGTGGTTCCTCATAGCCTTTTCCCATTAAGATAGTTACACAAAAATTGCAGATCAGTTTGTATTGTCTACTACTTACAGTCAGTTAAGTCTATACCATGGACTCTGAAGTTTTTTCTCCCCTATCTTCAAATAGTTCACTCTGGACTATTATGAAAGACATTATCTAAACAAAACCTTAGCTACTTACTGTTCACCAACAGTGATGTTCAGGAACAGCTGAACAAACTTCTACCATGTTATGGCCTTGAGCAAACACTCTGGAGTATCTGGATTCATATTAAGAAAAAAGCCAGAAATTTACTATGTCATTCAGGAAAGACCACATTACCGTGCAACTGAGAGAGGACCAAATACCATTTATAGATGAAGTTATACATTGGCTTACATAAAGGGAATTTAAGAAATTAAGCTAAACTATAGATGTCTGCACTTAATCCATTTTGTTCCAAGGATGACACGAACAGTTGCTCTAGTGGATTGATCAGGAAGAGTTTTCACATGTGAATGATGTTTAACTGAACTAGAAACACAAAGGATTTTTCAAATGTAGCCTACTATCCACAACAGGGAAGTCCCTCAGTATTTCAAGTGAATTAGAAACTCTCCTCCCCAAGCAACAGATTTTCCAAGCCCAAGCCTTCAGTTGACATACAATTCACAAGCCATGACATCAATGTTAAACCTGTAAGATTATCACTGCAATTTCTGCTTTGCAATTTCTGCCCAGTTTTTGAACAATGGCATCAATTTTTTTAATGATTCCATTCAGACTTGTAACAGCTATCCAAAAATACATTGCATTCAATTATTATAACCATTGAAACTATCAATGCTGAAAGCTAAAGCTTTAAAAATGCCAAGTATTACAAAACCTGTGATAAGACAACATCAACTGGCAACACTGATATAATTTACTACTGGTGAAAAAAAGCAAGAGCAGCAAAAACCCAGGACATGTGCTCTGTGACAGCTGGTGCCCCAAGCGTGAGGTACGCACCGGCTGCCATGGAGAGCCCTGAGGTGCGTTGGCCTCCATGGCAGCTGTAGGCAGCAGGGCTGGTTGAACATGGGAAACAGCCCAGAGAGGGTCTCCATCACAGAGACAGCCTCCCCCCAGCCTCCCCTGCCCTCTGCCTGGATCACCATGCAGCCCTGCCATGCAAGGGGCCATGACCACCTCGCCCAGAGCACATCTAGTAAACTGCCACCAACTGTGCCCGATAAATCTCCTCCTCACACCCAACCTCACCTTACAGAATTTCACCTCTCTCCTCTACCAACACATGAGCTTTTCACCTTTGTTAAGACAGTTAAAGCCACGCAACCCAAGGAAACATGGACGCTTACTCAGGCAGCACCCACGAGGCGAGCCACCATCTTGAATACGGGCAGTGAGCCGCCATCTTGGGTGGAACTCTTCCCTTTCCCCTCACGCAGGCACCCCGGGCCCGCGGGGAGGGAAGGGTTAGTTCCTCAACCCTTCGCCCTCACCCAAAATGGCCGCTGGCGCATCCGATCCTCCCTCT